AAAAAAAGTAATGGGACCAGGTTTGTTGGTCCAATAGAGCCTGATGGAAGCATTGAGACTATGACCCCTAGCTGCCCTTCAGGTCTGGAATTGAACCCACTCTTGTGGCTTCCAGCCAAACAAAAAGCGTATGAGTTGAACATTTATATTAGGTAGATATACTCGTTGGAGATCAATCACGGGAGACTAGAAGGGCTATGTATGCACAGGGAGACAGCTCAGTGCATGAGTGCATGGAGGGAAGGACACAGGGAAGAGGTAACTATGGGGAGGAACTGGGAGGGGAGCTGTTGCATTGTGGGAAATTGTAGTCAATGTCATGAAACTGTGTGAGCTGCTGTATGGAAAGTAAATTTGCTCAATAAACTTTCACCCAAATCACAAAAACAAACAAACAGAGAGGAAACAGCATACATGAAGAAAGCAAATAGTTATTAAAGATACAGGAAAGGAAGGAAAGACCAAAATGGATGTCAGGAGAGACTCTGAAGCTTGCTCTTGAATGGAGAGTAACTAAAGCGAATGGAAGAAATGACGAGATAAAAGAGCAGAACAGAAGATTTCAAAGGGCAGCTGAACAAGACATAGTGAGTTACCATAATGAAATGCTGAAAGAGCTGGAGAAAAAATTCAACCCTCCAGTTGCAATATGGCAGGATTCTATGGGCAAAATATTGAAGGATGCAGGAAGTATCAGAAGAAGTTGAAAAGTATACACAGAATCACTGCACCAAAAAGAATTTATTGACATTCACCTATTTCAAGGAGTAGCATACACTCAAGAACCAATGATATTGAAGAAAGAAGTCCAAGCTGGAATTGATGAAGCCCCTTGAGATGTTTCAAACGGGTGTAGTGCTGCAGGTGCTTACATGTCTACGCCAAGAGATTTGGAAGACAGCTACCTGGCCAACTGACTGGAAGAGATCTGTATTTGTACCCATTTCAAAGAAAGGTGATCCAATAGAATGTAGAAATTATCTAACAATATAATTCATAGGACACATAAGTAAACTTTTGCTGAAGATAATTAAAAAATGATTGCAGCAGTGTATTGACAGGGAACTTGCAGAAATTCAAGCTCTAAGGTCAGAAGAGCACGTGGAACAAGGGATATCATTGCTGATGTCAGATGGATCTTGGCTGAAAGCAAAGAATATGAGAAAGATGTTTTTCTGACTGTGTGAACCATAACAAATTATGGATAACATTTCAAAGAATGGGAATCCCAGAACACTTAATTGTACTCATGAGGAACGTGTACATAGACCAGGAGGCTGTCGTTTGAACAGAACAAGGGGATACTGCATGGTTTAAAATCAAGAAGGGAGTGCATCAGGGTTGTATCCTTTCATCACACTTATTCAATCCATGTGCTGAGCAAATGCTCCGAGAAGGTGGACTGTATGAAGAAGAACACAGCATCAGGACTGGAGGAAGACTCATCAACAACCTGTGATGTGCAGATGACACAACCTTGCTTGCTGAAAGTGAAGATGACTTGAAGCACTTCTTGATGAAGATTAAAGAGTAAAGTCTGCAGTATGGATTACACCTCAATATAAAGAAAACAAAAATCCTCACAACTGAACCAGTAGGCAGCATCATGATAAATGGAGAAATGACTGAAGTTGTCAAAGATTTTATATTACTTAGATCCACAATCAACACCCATGGAAGCAGGAGTCAAGAAATCAGATGTTGTATTGCACTGGGCAAATCTGCTGCACAAGACCTCTTTAAAGTGTTGAGGAGCAGAGATGTCACCGTGGAAACTAAGGTGCTCCTGACCCAAGCCATAGTATATTCCATCGCCTCGTATCATGTGGAAGCTGGACAGCGAATAAGGAATACTGAAGGAGAGTCGATGCCTTTGAATTACGGTGCTGATGAAGAATGCTGAAAATGCTATAGACTGCCAGAAGAAGGAATAGCTCTGGCCTGGAGCTAAGAATGCTCCTTGGAAGCGAGACTAGCCGGACTCCGTCTCTCCTGCTTTGGTCCTGTTGTCAGAAGGGACCAGTCCCTGGAGAAGGATGTCATGCTTGGTAAAGTGGAGGGTCAACAAAAAAACAGGAAAATCCCAAACAAGATGGATCGACACAGTGGCTGCAGCGATGGGCTCAGGTATCGCAAGGATCGGGAGGCTGGTGCACGACCAGGCAGTGTTTCATTCTGTCGCACACGGGTCGCTGTGAGTTGGAGCCGACTCAGCGGCACCTACCAACAGCAGCAACAATGTTGCAGAAAATGTTTTTTGAGGGTTTGGATGATAGCGTTGAGTAAAAGTTAAAGAGCTCTTGTGTACTATCGATGCTGTCCCGGCCATCCTTAGGTGCAGGATTAATTTGACATCTGCAGCCATTGTCCATGAGCACAGTCCCCCTGGGTCAGGAGTGCATTACATCAAGGTGCTGGCATGTGTGGGTCCCTGGACCTCCTTGTGTCTGACCTGCAGCCCCGGTGGCTGCTGCCTCCCAGTGAGAACCCTTGTGTCCGTGCAGCTGTGGGGAGTCCTAGGTGCGCAGCATGGACTGAGCCTGGGAGGAGTGGTCTGTGCTGTCGTTCGATCTCACTGCCTCTGAGAACAGGCAGGGCCACGCGGCTCCGCTGTTGAGCACTGGCGTCGTCTTGTCTTGTTCTCAGCCATCGAGGAAACTGCTCTCTGAGTTTATGTGTGGTTGGTGTGTGGCTCTTAGCACCTAGCGCTGTGGCTAGCACTGTGTGCTGAACACGTGGTTGGCTGGGTAGGTGGCAGTACACACAGACGCGAAGGTGGAGAGAGGAGGCGGTGTGTCCCCCAGGGACAGCTTCAGACCTCCTCCTAGTAGTGCCCCCTTAGGCTTTGGTAACCCCCCTCCTAGGGGTGTCCTCACAGGCCTTTATTACCCCACCACCTCCTAGGGGCGCCCGGGCCTCAGTAACCCTGTCTCCTGCTGTCCAGGGCTCTCGGCCTCCTGTGCCCCAGGTGCTTCCTGTCTTTCGCTGCTGGTTGCAGGGGAAATGCCAGTGAGTTACAGAGCCGCGTTGTCCTGGCAAAGGCACCTGAGATGTCGAGCAGGGAAGTTGATAAGAAAGGTTGAGTCAGTTTGTCCTGATTAAGGACCAGTAGAAGGGATGACAGCGAGAGCTGGGACCCAGTCCTTGCTTGGTGGGACCGCTGCGTGCCATCCTTCAGGGTCCTTGCTCTGGTCCTGAGTCGGGTTAAGGAGAACCCTGGGAACTGACGTGGTATCCCTGGCCTTTCCTGGGCTGGCACCGTGCTCTCGGCAACTCGTGGGTAGGGCAATGTGGAGAGTGAGACTGGCTTCACGGTGAAACTTGCGAGAAGGTGGCATGACTGCTGGCTGCACTTCCTGGGTGCAGGCAGAGCCTGTGTTCTCGCTGACTGCAGGCCGGCCCTGCATGAGCGCCGTCTCCTCTGCCGTGGAAGCGGCCATTCCACACCACTGACTGCTCTCCTTGCCTCTGTTGTAGACCTAAATGCCACCTCAGTGAGCCTGCCTTCTACCACACCTGTGTCTCCGTCCACCATATCCACGCAGAACCTGGTGATGGCATCGTCAGGGGTGGGAGGTGATGCCAGCGTCACACTCACGCTGGCTGACACTCAGGGCATGCTCTCCGGGAGCCTCGACACAGTGACACTGAACATCACCTCACAGGTGAGGGCAAGACCCAGCTGTCCTTCCCAGTTACTGGCCTCCCTCCAGGCCTGGGCTCAGCCGTGAGCTGCTGCTGAGAGCCTGACCCATGGGTGGTAAAGAGCTCCTTCCATGCCCCTCCCAGGATCGTGTAGTTTTCAAAGACTTCTTGGTCATTGCAGTTACGTTTTGCAATACAAGAAATTGCCAAGGGTCATATTGATCACCAGAAGGGGTGGTTGCTTAAGTTAGAATTACGGGTAAGAGAGTGACATTGTACAATACCCCCTAAAGACTGGGGTATGGTCGTAACTGTGTTTAACTAAAATGCCACACTACTGCCTGGCTGCCTCGGAAGACCTGCTCGGCCCCGTGAGAGCCTTTTTCAGGCAAACACAACCATTGCATTTGGCTCACAGACCAAATTTGTGTATTTGATGCAAACATGTCTTTTTTTTTTTAATAACGTGTGTATGTGTGTATCCATGTAGCATGGTATTGTGCACTGTGTTCATGTTGTAGCATGACTGGTGCTCTGCCGCATGGGTGAAGTACCACCACACTGGTCCGTCTGTCCTTCAGTGTAGAAGCCAGGGTTGTCCAGCTGTTTGGAATCAAGCTGCTGTGAACACTGGTGTCCAGTTTTCACATGGCACTGTGGGTTTCCATGGATAAGCAGTATTAGGGTAGAATTATTGGGTCCTAATGGTGGTTTTACAGAGCCCTCGCAGCACAGTTGGTAAGCACTGGGCTGCTAATGAACAGAGCAGTGATTAGAACCCACCAGCGCCTCTGGGGGAGAAAGATGAGACAGTCTCCTCCTGTGAACATGTACAGCCTTCGAACCCTCTGGGGCAGTTCTCTGTTCCCTTCTTTCCTGTACGGTTGCTGTGAGGCAGAGCACTCAGCAGCAGTGGGTTCGGGTCTCTGGACGGTAGTTGTGTAACTCCCATGAAGGCACGGCCTTGGCGCTCCTCTGAGGCATCTCTGTGCTGTCTGCACCACTGCAGGGAGCCCGAGTCGACCTGACGGCAGCGGGTCTGGGTTTAGCTTTCTGGGGATCTGCCAAGCTGCTGTCTAGCATGGCTGTGCCATGGAAGGCTTGTTAAACTGTGAACTGATGGGACGGTCCCACGGCTTCTGAGGTCGGCGCTGTTCTCTTCCAGGGGCAGCATTTCCCAGCGTTGCTCACAGACCCATCCCTCTCGGGCCCAGGCAACACAGGCTCCCCGCAGGTAATACTCGTGAGCCACACGCCACACACGCCCTCCACTGGCTGCGAAGAACTGACTTACCAGGTGAGTGCACGTGAGTCCCCTGGCGTGGAGGTGCAGAGCGGTGATAGTTAAAGCGAGACGTGGGACAGCAGTCTTGTGCCTTGGTAACTCTCCCATAACCCCACAACCTCAGATAGTGTTCTCATTGATGTGTTTGTTAACGCCTCACAAAGCTTTTTGCATCCTGAGAGAGAAACCAGGGGTTGGTGGTTCTTGTTTCTCAGCTGGAACTCCTATCCTTCATCTACCTTCAGCATTTCCATCAGCTTTCTGTGTTGTGGCCACTGTGTCGCTGATCAGCACGTATTTGAGAGATGACGTTACCCTGGTGCTGATCCAGGCGCTGGAGTGGACTGAGGCGGTGAACTGATGCGTAACGTGTTGGGAAACCACACGTGTGAAGAAAGGCCATGGAGAGGGTCAGAGGGCAGAGACTGGGGCCCGGCTGCTGAGCATGCTCCTGGAGCTGTCACATGGTAGAGTTCTGCGTGACCCAGAAGGCTGAGCGCGTGAGGGTCTGGGACACAGGCTCTGTGCATTCCATGCTGTGCTTCCTCCTTGTTGTTGGGTGGGATCTTGTGGTGGTGTTAGGTGCCATCGAGTCGGCGCTGACTCACAGCGACCCTATGCACAGCAGGATAAAACCCTGCCCGGTCCTGGGCCAGCCCCACAATCTTTGCTATACCTGAGCCCATCGTTGCAGCCACTGTGTCAATCCATCTCATTGAGGGCCTTCCTCTTCTTCAATGACCCTCCGCTTGACCATGCATGATGTCCTTCTCCAAGGAGTGGTCCCTTCTAACAACATGACCAAAGTAGGTGAGACAAAGTCTGGCTATTCTCGCTTCCAAAGAGTATCCTGGCTGCACTTCTTGCAGGACAGATTTGTTCATTCTTCTGGCAGTCTGTGGTACTTTCAGTATTCTTCATCAATACCACAACTCAAAAGTACCAACTCTCCTTCATTCTTCCTTGTTCATTGTCCAGCTCTTACATGCATGTGAGGCAATTGAAAATACCATGGCTAAGGTTAGGTGCACCTTCATCTTTAGAGAGACATCTTTGCTCTTCAACATCTTAAAGAGTTCTTTTGCAGCAGATATGTCCAATGCAATACGTTGTCTGATGTCTTGACTGTTGGTTCCATTGGTGTTGATTGTGGAACCAAGTAATATAAAATCTTTGACAACTTCAGTCTTTTGAACATGCAGTCAAGCAAGATGTGTTGATTACTACTGGTGATTGGAATGCAAAAGTTGGAAACAAAGAAGAATCACTGGTAGTTGGAAAATACAGACTTGGTGATAGAAATAACGCTGAAGATCACATGATAGAATTTTGCAAGACCAATGACTTACTCATTGCAAATACCTTTTATTCAACAACACAAATGATGGCTATACACGTGGACTTCACCAGATGGCGTACACAGAAATCAGATTGATCACATCTGTGGCAAGAAGTGATGGAGAAGCTCAGTATCTTCAGCCAAAACAAGGCCAAGAGCTGATTGTGGAACAGACCAGCAACTGCTGATATGCAAGTTCAAGTTGAAGCTGAAGACAATTAAAACAAGTCCACGAGAGCCAAAATCTGACCTTGATTATATCCCACCTGAATTTAGAGATCATCTAAAGAAATTTGATGCATTGAACACCAATGACCAGAAACCAGAGGAATTGTGAGATGAGATCAAGAACACCATCCATGAAGAAAGCAAAAGGTCATTAAAAAAACAAGAAAGGACGAAATAGACCAAAATGTTTGTCAGAAGAGACTCTGAAACTTGCCCTTGATCAGAAAGTAGCTAAAGCAAATGGAGGAAATGACAAGACAAAAGAGTGAAACAAGATTTCAAAGAGCATCTTGAGAAGACAAAGCCAATTATTATAATGAAATGGTCAAAGATCTGAGTTAGAAAACCAGAAGGGAAGAACATGCTCGGCATTTCTCAAACTCAGAGAACTGAAGAAAAAATTCAAGCTTTGAGTTGCGATGTTGAAAGATTATATGGGTGGGATCTTAGTACCACAGAATTGGAGGGAACATTCGATAGTTCAGAAATCTAGCTTATATTAGTTAGTATCTTCTTATATTTTCCTACTGGTCAAGCGTCCCATGGCCGTTTCCTTGTATTATTTTTAGTTTTTTGAACCTACAGTTGTTTGTTTTTGTTACTTCTTTTACTGCTGTCGAGAACACACAAAGCAGAACACGCCGCATCTCTCCCGTTTGTCCAAGTATGATGCAGTGACTCATGACATTCTCCAGGTTGGTCTACCACGCTCACCTTCGTTTTCTGAGTTGTTCTTCCCTCATAAACATAAACTCACTGCTCTGTAATTTTCTGAGTTCCTGCTGTCAGTTCGATCCTGTATAGACAACTCTTGAAAGAGCACAATGCTCAAGGCAGACTTTCTTAACTAGTTAAGCTAAATTACTGTTTGATTTAAGAAGACTTGAGGGAATAGTTTTAGTTTAAGGTTTTTAAAGATTATCTCAGGGCAGTACTTTTAAGGGTACATCCAGCCTCCGTGGCTCCAGAAATTCTGGGGTCCCTGAGAACTTGAAGTTCTATTCTGCAGTTCCCCCTTTTTATCAGGATTCTTCTGTAGAGTCTCTGATCAAAACGTTCAGTAATGGCAGCCAGGCACCAGCCGCTGCTTCTGGTCTCATGGCAGAGGAGGCAGTTGTTCATAGAGGCACATGGCCACACATTCCATGTCTTTTCCTGCTCTTGACTCTCCTCCTTCCTCTGTTGCTCTGGGTAAAGGGAGCCTAAGTGGTGGGCCTTAGATGCCTGCTTGCTAGCTTCTTAGGCCCCAGGCACTAGGCAGTGACCTAGGAGGTAGATCAGAAGCAGTAAACACAGTCCTAGGCCGGGTAACTGGGATGTCCCACAAAACTGCAGACTAATTGTCTGTACGCCTTTGTGTCGATGACCTGTTTGTCATTTGACTAGTCTCCCCCCGCCCCAGAAAATACTTGTTTTGGGGCCCAAAACATTTAGCAAGTGATAGTTCTAAATAGAGAGGAAGTTAAACTTTTTCCTTGAGACTTTTCAGAGTCACATGTAAAGTACGATGAATAAGAAGCAGGATTCACGCTCACACCATGGAAGTGTCGGGGCTGCCGAAGCCCCTTGCTCGCCCGTGTTCACGATGGCGCTCTGGAGCCCGGAGCCTCCTGCCGTCTTGGAGCTGTGCGTGACCAGGCTCCCCTAGGCAGCACCACACTTACTTCCCCTGCCCTGAGCCCATCTCAGCCGTTCGAATCCGTCCTTTTCTTGCTGAGTGCCCCACATTACTTGTCTCGTGGTAGAAGTGCTAACAGCTGGTGGCCAGGTCCCCGGTGTCTTTCCTGGGCCCAGGCATGTAGTAGTTAGTGGGCTCTGGCCCGCAAGCCTTTATCATGAGGAAAGTAAGGCTTGAAGGGGATGGTGAAGAACTGTCTTACACCTGCCCCGTGAGCAGAGACACAACTCGCAGCTTTGCCCGGTGCTGCCTAACTGTGGGAATGTCACTTTGCAGTCATTAAATCAGTTTTCTGGTTAGCTGAGACAGTCACTTTTTCCTAACAAGTTCCGAGGGGTCTCAGGTCACATGTGCCTACGTGGGTGTGGGTGCAAGGTGACGCTGTGTCTCCTCAGGCTGTGAGGAGGCTTAGGGCTGCTGGGAGAGGTGACTGCTTCCTCCTGTCGCCACTGATTGAGATGACTTTAGGGTCCCACACTGCACCCCTGCCACACTGTCACACACAGATAACAGAGGCAGCTGAGGCGAGGAGCGGACCTCGCTTCGGTTGGGGTGTGTGTCCCACACGGAAAACCTTCACACGTGTGGCCGTTATAGGGTCCCACACTGCACCCCTACCACACTGTCACACACAGATAACAGAGGCGGCCGAGGCGAGGAGCGGACCTTGCTTCTGCTCGGGTGTGTGTCCCACACGGAAAACCTTCGCACGTGTGGCTGTTATAGGGTCCCACACTGCACCTCTGCCACACTGTCACACACAGATAACAGGTGGCAGAGGCGAGGAGCGGACCTCGCTTCTGCTGGGGTGCATGTCCCACATGGACAACCTTTGCACATGTGGCCGTTAGCCTGTCCCTCTCCCGTCAGTGTGTGTGAGTTTTCGGATGCCCGCAGTTACAACATGGAGCAGAGCGTCTGAAAGTTTGCTCTGCACATGGTGTAACTGCCAATGGTGCACTGCGCCTGTTTCTGAAGTGGCGGCCAGTTGACCCTCTGTGATAGTGGAGCATGTATGGCACTGCATCCTAGAGGGAGCTGTGCCTGTTTGCTTGTCTGTCTCTTGAGTGACATGGCCGGGTATTGACTTGTCATGTTTAAGGAAGGAAGTGTCTGACTTAGAAACGATTTTCTGAGCGTGCACAGTTCCTGTACTGCTGAGAACAACTGCAGTGCTCTGATACTGGACGGTGACTAACTGCAGATCTTCAGTTTAACGAGTGACCTTCATCGTATGCACCGTTTACTTGTGTTGCTTTTCTATCTGCAGTTACAGACTAGACCTCAGGGTCGCTATCCCAGCACTTTCCAAGCTCTCCTGATACACAGACGTGTGTATGTATGCGTGCTTCCTTTTCCTACACAGACCACCACATGTAGACACACATGAAACAGTGGCCCAGGTACCAGCTGTGATTCACATCGTGTGTTTCTCTTTGTGGCCTCTTCTACTGGTTTCTCGTGCACAGACTTTGCTGTTACAGTGCCGAGTCTGGCATCACCTGGTACCCTAGGAGCACCTTGTGGAAGTTGTTGACGGATTTTTCTTTACTGCTCATCTATTTCTGTTCATCTTGGGAAGTGTTTAATAAATTCCATCTGTTTTCTTCACTTTCATGAAGCTGTGTATACAGCTTTTCACGTGCGAGGCTGAGCTGTATTGTCTGTGGGAGCTGAGCAATACACCTCCCTGAGTTTGCTTATCCTTTTTAAGGTGACAGTGGCAACCCATTAAAGTGGTGTGTAAACCTACTGTCTGGTGTAGGCTACGGTTTGGGGAAAGTGCAGTTTGCTGAGAAAGATCTGTACCCAAAGCAGTATTTTTCAAAATTAATCCTTGACTGAAACAAGAAATAATACCAGTTCGTGTCTGTTGAATGCTTGCTGAGTGCCAGGCACTGAAATTTGAAGAAGATGATAAGGCATGGACTGGGTGAATGTGGTGCTGGCTTTATAGTCTGGTGGTTCACAAGCTCAGAGGGTCTAGTACAAGGGTGTGATCATCTCTGAGTACATGGGTAGGACTGCCTGTGTGTGTGTGTGTGTGAAGTCTCAGGTGTGTGGTTGTGACCATGCAGCCACACGTGTAAGTGTGAAGTCATTGATGTGATTATGAGTGAAGTCATGGGTGTGGTTATGTGAAATCACAGGTATGACTGAGCTTTAAGTCTTGGGTGTGAGTGTGTACTTCGGGGTGTGACTTTGAAGTTCTGAGTGTGTGTGTAGTCACGAGTGTGACTGAGCATGAACTACCAGGTATGTGATTGTGTAGCCATGGGTGTGACTGAGTGTGAAGTCCTGAGTATGAATGTGTAGCCATGAATGTGAAATCCAGGTGTGAGTGGGTAATCATGTGTGTGACTGGGTGTGAAATCCAGGTGTGTGTAACCGTGAATGTGACTGGGTGTGAATTCCAGGTGTGAATGTGTAACCGTGGGTGTGACTGGGTGTGAATTCCAGGTGTGAGTGTGTAACCGTGGGTGTGACTGGGTGTGAAATCCAGGTGTGTGTAACCGTGGGTGTGACTGGGTGTGAATTCCAGGTGTGAGTGTGTAACCGTGGGTGTGACTGGGTATGAATTCCAGGTGTGTGTGTGTACTGACAGGGCCCCTCTTCCCTCCAGGTGACTGATGTCTCTCCGCACCTGGCCAAGGGAAGCCCACTGGAGAAGGAGAGCCGGGCACACCCGTGCATGGAGTGTGGCCGGGCCTTTCCGTCGGCGGCCGCGCTGCTGCAGCACAGCAAGGAGGTGCACGGCCGGGAGCGAGTGCACGCCTGCCGACTCTGCAGCAAGGCCTTCAAGCGTGCCACGCACCTCAAGGTAACGCCTCCCAGACATGCTGCTGAAGGAAGAGTTACCGGAACGTTACTTAGTTTTAGCAGGTGAATTGTGATGCCCTGATCGATAGGTTGCGTTTTCCTGTACAAGTCAGAATCTGTTTTTAACAGAGATTGAAGTTACACTACAGGACTGTTTTTAGTGGGCAGACTAGCGAAAAAAAAAAAAAAAGCAGAAATCTGCCATCACATACTCAAAAGGCCAGGGCACAGGCACTCTCAGAATTGCTGGTGGGAATGTGGATAGTTGTGGCCTTCCGTGGGCGGACGGGGACACCTGGCAAAACCAGGTCAGCGCTGACCTGGCGGTCCTGAGAATGTGGACAGGTGTGGCTTTCTGTGGGTGGACGGGGACACTTGGCAAAACCGGGTAGGCACTGACCTGTTGGTCCACCCGAAGACCCACCCTTTAGGAATAGGCGTGCAGCAGCACACAGGGATGTTCATTGTACGCTGTGTGTAATTACAAAACCCTGGGATGAGCTCAACACCACATGTCGAAGAGTGGCTGAGTCAGCTGGGGCACTGGCACATGCGAGAGTGTGCACTGACACTTTGGGGAAACTCCGTGCTCTGCTGCTGTTGAGGCCGCCATGTTTGAAATTGATGCGCTTCCAAAGAAGAAAGTTCCAGGGACATGGTTTTGCTGGAGAATTCTACTAAGTGCTTCAAGAAGAATTAACACTGTTCCTGAAAATAGAAGTGCTTGCACTCCCCAGTCTGCTTTAGAGCTTGTATCCATCTGTAGACATGTGCAGCCTGAAGACGACAGAGCAGTGAGGGTTCCGTTTTGAGATCGTTGTGGATTCACGTGCAGTTGAAAGAAACTGAGCAGAGGCCCTTTGTGCCCTTCGCCCAGTTTCCTCCTAGGCCGCATCTTGCAGCACAGCGTTGCGGTGATGTCGATGTTTTTGTAGCAACGGATCTTGTTGCCCCTTTTCGTACCCATTGCCCCTCGTCACTATGCACCCAGTCCTACTGCCCAGCAGCTACTAGCCCACTCTTTTCTGTAAATCTGCTTTTTCAAGAATCTTATGTATGTATTTAATGAATAATCTGTTGGAAGGAGCCATGGTGTGCTGTGTGGGGGTGACGTGGTGGGGACGAGATCTAAGTTTGAATCCTGGCTTCATCTTTACAGGGTGACCTTGGCCAGACCTCAGCATCCTCATATGCCACGGCGATGTTTATTTCCTCTTTAAAACGGGGCTGCCTTTGCCAGGTGTCCCCATTCGCCCACAGAAAGCCACACCTGTCCACATTCTCGCCAGCAATTTTGAGAGCACCTTTAAAACAGGGCTGCAAGGGGAAGGCTGCTTGCATGGGGCCCTTCTCAGGCTGGCCCATGCTTACCATGCCGGGTTTTGTTTAATCATTCACAAAACCCAATCAAAACACAAGCCAGGGAGCAGCCTCCAAGGTTATCCCACCATTGCCTTGACTTTTCCAGGTGGTGGTTTTCCCCTGCCATTGCACACGTATGACATCCTGTGATGCCTGACGATGCCATGCATATTTGTGCTGTGTCATTCACAGGAGCACATGCAGACACACCAGGCCGGCCCATCTCTGAGTTCACAGAAGCCTCGTGTGTTTAAGTGCGACACCTGTGAGAAGGCATTTGCCAAACCGAGCCAGCTTGAGAGACACAGCCGTGTCCACACAGGTAGTGGTGGGCGGAGCTTCTATCCTCGTCATGAGCCAGGAGTGTGTGTGGTGAGCTGATTGTGTGTACGCACGCATCCACAGGCAGTGACGGGGCTCCTTCTGTCCTCGTTGTGAGCCACGAGTGCATGTGGTGAGCTGATCGTGTGGGTGCACACGTCCACAGGTAGTGGCAGGCAGAGCTTCTGTCCTCGTCATGAGCCAGGAGTGTGTGTGACGAGCCGATCATGCATGGGTATGCATTCATCATGCGATGTCCTGTGTGTCCAGCAAGGCCCAAGAGTCCACTTGTTCACTGACTTTTGATCAGTTTTTGTTTAATCTGATGTCAAATAAGATATCCTCCCGTGACATTAAGGAGCTCTGGTTGGTGCACAGTGAAGTGCCCGGCTGCCAACCAGGGGCTCGGCAGGTGGAAGCCATCTGAGGGTTTTCAGAAAAAACACCTGGCCATCTGCTCCCGTAAAGACCACAGCCTAGGAAGCTGTGGGGCCTTTCTGCTGTGTGAGTCTGATCGACTGGATGGCACATGATGACTGCATGCACTGTGACCACGGAAGACATCCGCCAAGGCCGTGGCTCTCCCCACCCTCTGTAGGAGCTCCTTTCTTTGTCTTTCTCTGCTGTCCTCAGACGTCCCTCTCCACCGGCCTCCCCACCTGTCACCTCAGTCTGCTCCCGGCTCTGATACAGACAGGGCGTCCAAACAGCTACAGTCCCTGCCTTTCTGCCCTAACCCCTCTGGCTCCACACCCCGCCCAGCACCCCACCAGGTCAGCAGTGGCCTCTGTGCCTTTGAGCACCAGGGGCGCTCGTCTCCTGTCTCTGTCACTGCCCCTGTCCTGGCTCATGAGGCAGCGTGCTGCCAGGAGGGCTCTCAGCCTGTGCACGCCCATCCCTAAACCAGACGAGGGGAGGGATCATCTGGTTGCTGGGGGAAGAGGGGCAGGTGGGGGCGGGCACGCGCTGCAGGACAGTGAGCGTAGGGGCTGTGCTCAGAGCCTGGCAGGAGGTGGCCAGCAGGCAGCCAGAGGGGCACACGAGGAACAGGCTTGGACTCTGGTGTGGGGTTTAGCATCTAGCTGCTGAGCCATCATGGTGTCACCCGGCATCCTCCCAGCAAAGGCATTTCCTCTTCCTTATGTGCTTGGAAGCAGTCAGGTAGCGTGGCAGAAATGGGGAGGAAGTTGTACTCTTCATTGTTCAGGGGATGACTGACTGACTGGTTGCTTCAGGTTCGTGTGAGCTTACTCTTTCTGAAGATGGACTTTAGCGTGAAGCTTGAAAGCCACACTTTCTGTAGTGAAGGGCCGCCATCCATGCTGGGCAGACATGTGTATTACGTGTTTATCATGTGGAACACAGTCTCCTGTCCTTCAGTCTCTGCTTATTGCCCGGGAGCCACAGGTCACCTGTAGTTTCTACCTGCCTGCTCGCTGTGTGTTCTAGACACTGTGTGACTGACTCCCATGGCTTTGATTACGCTCCATTTCACGGTTTAACGGGGGGTGCCAGGACTCTGTGGGCTGGGACGTGGCTGGAATGTCTTTAACCAGCGGGAGGGCGTGCTACGTTGCTCTGACTGCCCACCCAGCAGCACTGTCTCCACAGGGGAGCGGCCCTTCCGGTGCACGCTCTGCGAGAAGGCCTTCAACCAGAAGAGTGCACTGCAGGTGCACATGAAGAAACACACGGGTGAGCGGCCCTACAAGTGCGAGTGCTGTGGCATGGGCTTCACACAGAAGAGCAACATGAAGCTGCACATGAGACGTGCACACAGCTACGCGGGTGAGCGGGGCAGGCTGGGGAGCCAGGAGCGTGCATGTGTACAGCTACACGGGTGGGTGGGGTGGGAGCATGTGTGTGTACGGCTATGTGGGTGGGCTGAGCATACGTGTTTCTGAGAAGCGCCTTCCTCACTGATGAAGGACAGCCATGCGGGTAGAGTCACACCCCAAGGAGGGACAGTGCGAGTGCACACGCATGGAAGGTGTCACACCCCAAGGAAGGACAGTGTGGGTGTATGAGTGTAGATGGTGTCACACCCTGACGGACAGTGCAGGTGTATGTACATGGAAGGTGTCACACCCCGAGGAGGGACAGTGGGTGTATGTGTGTAGACGGTGTCACACCCTGACGGACAGTGCAGGTGTATGTACATGGAAGGTGTCACACCC